CAGGAGAAATTTCAACATGAAGGGAAAGAACTGGAAAAGGAAAGATACGGACCTTGGATGTTGGTTCAACGGAGATTACGAGGAACGAGGAATAACCAGAAGAATAAAAGTAGTAGAATTCATGAATCACGACAGCATAATAGATTTGATGGTTTGAATAATATTGATGGAAATGAGATGAGTAAGGAAAAGGAGGATCACAACCCGAACCAAGAGGTGTACAAGAACATTAATACGACTGGTAGGTCTGCAAAAGACATGAGATCGACCAGAAGTGAAGATGGTAGCAGCAGAGCTAAAACTCGTAACTTGACAGAAAGCTCAGGAGGTGAGTTTCATAGGAAAACAGACGAGTCTTTGCGGCCTCCAATATTCCTTGCGATGAGAGGCGAACAGGGTGGAATAAAAGGCAACAAATATACTGGTGGAAACAATCAAAAAGTTGGCATGGAACCAGAATTAGAGGTGAGAAAGAGAATGGAATATCACGAAAACCCATCTATGGAGGTTGAAAATGCTACTAGTATAGCTGAATTCCAGGCTGTTCGGGAGATGGAAACTGAACCAATTGAACCGGAACATGTTGATTACACTAAGGAGATGATGGCCTTTGAGGCTTGCACGAATATTAATTCCACCCAATGAAGTTGATGTCTTGGAATTGTCGTGGAGTAGGTAATCAAAATTTCATCAGGAACTGTAGAGAGTTGATTCGGGAGGAGAATCCAACCATTATTTGTCTTCTCGAAACAAAAGCAAAGACATGTATTGGTCCTTTGCTCCAGAAAAAATTGAAGTTCGATAATCATTTTGAGGTCCCCTCTCAAGGTCTCCGGGGAGGTTTAATTCTTCTTTGGAATTCTAATTCGCATGAGGTGACCATTCGGCAACACACAGACCAGGTTATCCACTGTGAAATTATAGAAGACGATAAAAGATGGCTGCTTTCCACTGTCTATATCCAACCTCATTCGCTTAAAAAAGAAGAAGCCTGGGAGAATATCTACAATTACTCTACAACTATTAATCAGCCTTGGATGATAGTGGGTGACTTCAATGACTTTGCTACATTGGAAGAACGTTTAGGCAGTAACTCCAATTGCATGAGTCGCATCGTCAAGTTTCGCGATCACTGGAATAGATGCAACCTGATGGATGATGGATATGTTGGTAACAAGTTTACTTGGACTAGACACCTCCATGGAAGAGTCACTCTTCAGGAAAGACTCGATAGGTTACTTCATAATATGGAGATGGTCGAGTACTTTCCGAACCTTCGAGTGGCTACATTAACAAGAGTGTACTCTGACCATAATCCAATTCTGATTAACACGAATTGGGATATTCCTGGAGAACAAGAGAAACGACCTTTTAGATTTGAAGCAGCTTGGCTTACACACGAGGATTTCAACAAAATATTCAGTACAGCATGGGACAAAAAGAAATACTCTCTTGTGGAGGCAGTGGAAGAGACCAAACAAGCGATCATAGATTGGAAGGAGAGTACTTTCGGGAACATTTTCAAACATAAGAAGACCCTGCTGAAACGAATCAAAGGAATCCAAAGATCTATAAATTACTTTCATTCGATACATCTTCAAGAATTGGAAAAGACCCTTGGCGCTGAGTATCAACAAGTGTTGGAGCAGGAGGAAATCCTTTGGCTTCAAAAATCTCGACTGGATTGGATTTTGAAAGGAGAAAGGAACACGAAGTTTTTTCATATCACGACCATGGTAAGGCGCAAATTTAATAAAATTATCGGGCTGTACATTGGGAATGAATGGATCACATATAAACATACCCTTTGTCATCATGTCTGTAACTTTTACAAGGGGTTGTTCACTGCGAAAGTGCACGTCCAGTTGTCAAGGGATTACGATCGTTTCATGCCTAGATTAAACGAAGAAGAAAGAACCGAGCTAATGAATCAAGCCACTATGGAGGAAGTAAAAGTAGCATTGTTCTCCATGAAGGGTTTGAAAGCTCCGGGTCCGGATGGCATTCAACCCATTTTCTATAAACGAAACTGGGACACTGTTAAAGACACCATACGAGAGTTCGTGAATAGAACCTTGAATTTGGGAAAAATGGAGACAAAAATCTTAAGAACCTTCCTGGTGCTAATTCCGAAAATCACTGCAGCTGACAACATTACTCAATTTCGGCCAATTAGCCTGTTGAATACGTCTTACAAGATCTTCTCAAAAATTATCGTTCGTCGCTTGTGTCCTATGTTACAAAGAATGATCGGTCCTTACCAAAACAGTTTCCTAAAAGGTAGAAGCACATCTGATAATATATTGATAGTTCAGGAGGCAGTACATTCCATGATGAACCTTAAAGGAAGGAAGGGTGCAGTGATCGCCGAAATTGATCTACAAAAAGCCTATGACAATGTCAGTTGGGAATTTCTCAAGAAAACTCTCCAAGACTTCAATTTTCCTGGAAGATTGATAGAGGTAATAATGTTTTGCATTACTTCCACTACTATTGAACCGTTATGGAATGGGGAAATCACCGAAAGCTTCAGTCCTGAGCAAGGTCTACGCCAAGGTGATCCGTTATCGCCTTACTTGTTCATATTGGTTATGGAAAGACTCTCTCACATCATCTTGGATAAAGTGGATAGGGGTATATGGAAACCGTTCAATAGCTCGAGGGGTGGAATTAAATTAAGCCATTTATTTTTTGCGGACGATCTCCTACTGTTTGTAGAAGCGAATTCCGATCAAATGCAATACATGAAAGGCTGCCTAGAGGAATTTAGCCGAGCAGCTGGAGTCGAGGTAAATCTCCTTAAATCAAAACTGTTTATTTCCCCAAATATTAACTCTTCCACAGCTCAACACCTAAGTGAATTGTCTGGCATCCCCCTTACGGATAATCTGGGAACTTACTTGGAAGTCCCTATAATCCATAAAAGAGTTAATGCAGGAACCTATGATCCTCTCATTGAAAAAGTAATGAAAAGATTGGCAGGCTGGAAAGGAAGAGTCATATCCATGGCGGGTAGGAAAACGCTCATTCAAAGCGTTACAAATGCCATTCCAATACACACGATGCAAACTTCCGTACTTCCTGTTTCGGTCTGTAGAAAGCTGGACAGAATCAATTGTAATTTTTTGTGGGGAGGAGATATAGAGAATGCTCACAATCATCTGGTCAGCTGGGATAAAGTGTGTCAATCCAAAAAGACGGGAGGGTTAGGCATCCGTAAAGCAAGATTAATGAACATCGCTCTCATGGCAAAAAACAGCTGGAAACTTCTCACCAGACAAGAGAATCACTGGTGCAAAGTGTTTGAAGGAAAATATCTAAAGAATAAAGATTTCTTGGAGGCAGATTCAAGAGGAAATAGCTCTTCAACATGGAGGGGACTGCTACGAACTCGCAATTTATTAAAGCATGGGCGTAAATGGCAGATTAAGTCAGGTGTTCAAGCTAAGTTCTGGCAAGACTGGTGGGTAGGTAAAGAACCGTTGAAAAACTTATATCCCCTAATGGACCACCCGAGCAGAATTGAAGAGGTGGCCAGATACATTGACGATGATAGATCTTGGAATATCCGAGGAATACAGCACATGATCGCAGAGGAAACAAAACTGGAAATTCAAAAAGTTCCGATCCCGCAATTAACTGATCCTAACGAACATGATGTTAACACTTGGGGCTTCTCAAAGGATGGGCAATTTACGGTTACTTCAGCCTATCAAACCATGTCTAACATGGATGTCGGTGGTCATACTGGGGACAATCTAATGTGGGTATGGAGAACTAAAACCACTGAAAGAATCAGATTTTTTATTTGGTTGTCTTACCTTGACAAGCTTAATACGAATGAAGTTAGATGCAGGAAGAATATGACTCAGAATGCGAACTGCAAAGATTGTCGAGATGTTACAGAGTCCATTGACCATATATTCCGGACGTGTCGAGCAGCAAATTCCGTTTGGGAAGAACTACAAGCGAAGGAGCAGGACAGCCAATTTACTTCGTTGGAGTTTAGGAGTTGGCTGAAACGAAATTGTCTATCAAAGAAGGTCGGGTTTGATGGATTAGAATGGGGTCCTTTGTTTATGGCTATAATTTGGGGACTGTGGAAGAGCAGGAATGAAAGGATCTTCAAAGAAACGAAATTTGATCCCTTTAAAGTTATAAATTATGCTAAACAGCTTGCAAGGGATATGGAGAAGTCTCTGTCAAATGCGCATAGAAGGATGGTTCATGATCCGTTCTTGATTAAATGGAAAAAACCTCCTGAGGGAGTATGGATTCTTAATACTGATGGTGTGTATAAATTGAATTTAGGCTTGGCTGCTGCAGGTGGTTTAATCCGAGACAGTAACGGTGATTGGATTGCGGGGTTCATGTTGAGATTAGGGAGGGTTAATAGTTCGATTGCGGAAATCTGGGGGGCTCGTCAGGGTCTTAATTTAGCTAAAAGTCTTGGTTCAAGAAATCTGGTCCTTGAAATGGATGCTAAATGGATTGTTGATCTATTCAATGGAGACATGAAGGAAGATTTTTCGGAATTTGAGTTGGTTACTGACTGTTTAGATATTATAAAGGAAAGATGGGTGACTGAAGTTCGGCACATCTGGCGAGAAGGAAACAAATGCGCCGATAAACTGGCGAATCTGGCGCTCATTCAAGAAGACCATTCCTCCATTTTGCATTCGCCTCTAGCGGAAATCCAAGCGATGTTGGCAGCTGACAAGAACGAAGCGAGCGAGTTGAGAATTTAATTTTCTGTTTTCTCCTAATGTACCAAAAAAAAAATACTCGTACAAAACAAAACAGTATTCATTACATTATACATTTCTCCCTTTTAATGCCTTGTCTTAAATGTGCAAACACTGACAAAGTCTTGAAGAGATATAGCAGTAACCATCCATATAAAATAGTACTAACTTTAAACTACTCCATAGTACCATCCAAGAGAAACATGAAACGGAACCAAATGCCTAAAATCAACAGATTTCATAACTCTCATGTTAAAATTATTCAAATTTCACTGAAGTTTTATTCCAAATTAACAAACCGAACCGAAGAGGGTTAAATGTCCACATCTGAGGTTAAAATGATAAAAGCAAAACCAAATCTCCTGTGCTACTTTACCGCACTGGCTGCTGATTGTAGTGGTTCTTCTCTTGCTTCTTTGCAGCAGCAAGCCTTGCACTCCTTGCAGCAGCCTCATTCGCAGCAGCACGTGAAGCAGCGTCCATCTCTTTACTCGATTTTTTCTTCTTCCCTGGAGCTGCTTTTTTCAGCTTCTCCTTCACATCCACAGGAGATGACTGTTCCAGCTTGTTGGTTTCACCGCTTTCATTGTCATCAGTGCTTTCAGGCACAACAACAACAACAACAACAACAAAACCCAATTCCCATATGTATGGGGTAAGGGGGAGGTAGGGTAGTAGGCTACCCCCAACGCCAGGTTGAGAGTAACTTCCGTGGAAGACCTCCGGCAGTCAGAAAATTAAAAATTTAGATCAAATGCAATAATTCTTTCACCTCCTTCAATGATTTATCCTTCTTTTTCTTCTTTTTGGCACTCTTGCTCTCAGCAGGAGCATTCTCTTTCTTTTTAATTTTCCCATAGATCTCTGGTTCTTTCCCCTGTTCAGCACCTGCAATCAGGAAAAATATCGCCTTGTGTAAGAGCAAGCGAAGAAACTACCAAGAAATCAATCTAGAAATGAACAGAAAATAGTAAGCATCAAATAAACACTGCACCATTGACGTTAAGTCTCGGTTTAAAATTAGCCTCGTTGCATAAATGAAAATATATATCTTTCTTAGAATGAAACTACTCAGCATAAGCAGGATGTTACCTTGGGAGTCATTCGCATCACCTGCCTTTGGTTTTGTAAGTCCTAACTCAGCAAGAACAGCATCAAGTTCCTCAAGCTCCTTCTTCTTCAGCTCCTTCTTTGAAAGCGTTTTCTCAGCCTCTTTATTGACGACAAAGGGTTCAGGAGGCTTGCTAATAACCGACTCCACTTCTGCCTGAGTCTCAGCTTCGTTTTCATGTTCTTCTTCAGCATCATCGTCCACTTCGTCAAGACCATCTTTGTCATTTTCACTTTCCTGGAGAGCAAAGTAAAATAAAACATAACAATCTGTTAAACAAAAGTACTGATGCCAATGATAATACAAGAAATACAATGATTGATGTTCCAGAGATTCACTTTGGGAAGGCATTCCACGCACATCAACAGGCAACATATTTTGTATGCATCTTAAATATTTTGTAATTTGATTGTCATTATATTGAACAATAACCATATCCGAAATGAACAAAAAATGCCTAAATACAAATGTAAAAGGCGTCCAACAGTCAACCACAGGACATTAACCAAGTGTTTATTGAAAAATCATGTTTAGTTTCATATGATTAAATGATAAGAGTGAATATGTAATCATAAAGAGTAGAGTGGAACCTCAAACACGACACCATACACGTGTTAGCTTCATCAATCAAGTTTAATTTCAGTTCAACACAAAACCAAATGAATGATCAAATCAAGAGAAACATTCAGCAACATCCTACGGAACTGGAGGCAAAAACTACCTTGGCAACTACATACAGCATGCATGTTATCACATATCAACATCATTTGTTCATGAGGATAATCCACAAGCACTATTGCATCCACAGTACAAGATTAGTTCATCACATCTGGCGCAACAAAGCTTAAAAAATTACAAGAAATTTTGGTCAAAAAGCACATAGAATTTAAAACATTTTCTAAGTAACAACAATTTCCTTCAATATGAAGCATAATCACCATCCATCATATTCCAATTACAGTGTATATAATAGGAAAAATAACACAAGCCACATTCATACATACATTACATGACATGACATCCTATCTATTATCACCAAAATAATCAACATAACACCAAATCTTCTGATCATTAAGATAATCCAAATACCACACAAAATATTAAAATCAAAACAGAAGTTCATCGTCTAATCATAAACACCATACATTGAAAAAAAAACTGACCTCTAAAACAGGCTCAGGTTGTTTAGGAATGCCACAAGCAGAGCCAAGAGGAGCCGATGAGGCATAATCATCATCGTCTTCCTCATCAACATCAGCCAAGACTTCACCGTGAGAGGCGATGGGGCCCAAAACACCTCTTTCTTCTCGGCTTCCTTCCCCAATCCTTTCAACCCTTTGTTCTTAGAAGAAGAACCCAGTTTTTCCTTTTCGTTTCCCTTCTTCTTCAAACTCCCCAGTGCAGCAAAAACATTGGTGCTGTTAATCACCAATGGATCCTCCTTCCGGCCTTTCCCTCCTCCCATCATTTTTTTCTCTTTTAATACAATCTCTCCCAAAAATAACAATTTTTTTATGATACTCTTATCGAAGAAACGATTTTTAAGTAATGGCAAATCCCGGGGTTGAAAAATACAGTCGTTCTTGATTTAAAAAAAACGGAAAATTGGAGAATTTTATTGAAATAAACGTGAAACTGATCAAGAGGTTAATTTTCTTTTTGTGGGGTTTCCCGGATGATCTGAGAGACGCCTGAACGTAAGGTGATGAAGCGCGTTCTGGAACCGGAAAACGGAAAGTAAAGGAAGCAAGGTGTTTTTCAAATGTAGGTTAAGCGTTTTCAAGTTCCCAATTAATACAAGCAAAGAAAATACAAAGAAAGAAAAGAAAAACGCTTTTGTTCTTTCTGTTTCAACCCTTTTTTGTTTTCTAAAATTTTCCTTTGGAATCTGGGAAATATTATTTCTTTCGTTAGAGAAAGAAACGTGGCGTACGCAGGTGGGGATTCTTACGGTAAATGACAACGAAGACTGTGTTAATGAGATGTAGGGTTATGGATATAGTTGGATTGATATGAGCCGTTTGATTTACCAGTCATCACACTGGACTTCGCGGTTGGAAATAAGTGGGGCCCAAACCCCATTGGAAACTTTTTCAAAATTTTTTCCTGAAAGAAACAAAATAAACGGTGCTAAGCTAACGTGTGGAAGAAATACAATTTTACAAGACATCTGGCTGCCATGCAAACATTTTGGACCCACTTTATAAATATACGCATCCCATATTTATTTTCTTACAAAATTTAAAAAAATTGAAGTATCACTTTTTAATCTTATAGTTGAATTAATTTATTATTTTCGTTCTTATAGTATTTTCACATTAATTTAACTTTCGAAGTTATTCAATCGCATCATTCTATATCGTATCTCTAACTTAAAACTCTAAATTGTAAACTCTTAGCTATAATTGATGGTTTAAGATTTATAGTTTAGAGTTTACGAGGGTGTGATTTAAGGTTTAGGTTTTATAATTTAGAGCTTTAAGTTATGGTAGGGTATAAAATGATGTAATTGAACAATTTTTATCTTTAAAAATGATTAATTTGTAAAATTATTATTTGATATGTTAACTGTGAAATATTTAATTGTATAATTGAAATTAAAGAGAATAAATATTTTTAAAAATATTAATTAAGTAGATATAACAGTTTCAACTTTATACATAAGATTTTGTTAAATTTTAATCCAAGTTTTAAATTAATCTTTAAATTTCAAGATTTTTAAACTGAGTATTTAAGATATCAATTAGGTCATCTCCGACATCCAGATTTAATATAAGTTTAAGGAGGTTTTATCTATTCAAAATTTAAGATAAAAATCGGTACTTTATATAAAATTTAAGGTAAAGCTTTACACCTTATATGATCTAAATCTTTTTATTTGATAAAATAATAATTTAATTGAATATATATATATATATATACAGATTCAAAATCGAACTGCAAGATTCAAAAACTAGCAATTTAGTTACTAAATTAACTAAATTAATATTTTTAATTTTTAATTTAAAATGGGGTTGTGACGTACTTAAGCTTAAATAATAAAGAGGCCAAATTTAAACATAAACTAATGAGAAATTGCAAAAAGCACCTAAATTCATAGCGTTGAGAGCTTTGGGACGATCAACAATAATGATTACGACGCCGTTTGGATGAACATTTCCTTTAACAATATTGTAGACACATCATTTCTGGCCCGAGACTAACAAATCAGGGATAAGGCCCAAACAATCAAAACCCAAGTGGCCCAAGACTTTAGGAAGAAAATGGAGACACCCCTGTTGCGCCGCTCTCCATTCATCGGTTCACCCCAATGCCGTTCCAGCCCCACAGCCACATTCTCCTCCGGATTTCTCGGCACCAATGTCAAACATGCAACAACCATTAGACTTTAGGAAGAAAATGGAGACTAAAAACAGTATTTTATTTTCCTATAAATAAATGTAACGTTTATGGACATGGGAACGGAAGGATTACGCGCAAAATACCAGAAAAATATTATACAAAGTTGAAATCTTTTGTAACTCGTTTTGCAGTGAAATAATAGGTAAAAATCTTACCTTGCTTTCGGTTCGTTCTTTATCTTGCATGCATGTCGTTTATACTCCATTTTTGTTGATTCGAAACAAGAAGCCAATGACAGAGGAGGGAGGATTTTTCGAACCTTCGTTCGTAGATCTACTCTCTTCGAGGCTTGATCTAAAAAAATTATTTAGATTTTTGGAACGAGTTTACGAAAGGCTTTTAAAAAAAATAGAAACTTTTTTATATTTTGTCGCCGGTGAGCGGCGGTTGGCGCCGTTCAACGGCGACGCAACGGCCGGAATCTGAAAAATGGGGTGGTTGTTCTTCAGCTTGAAGAACAAACCAGAGAAAATAACAAATGGGGGAAGATGTTTCTGTTTGGAAATGAGAGAACAAATGAAGTTTAATATTTTTTAACTTAAATACTCGGCCCATTAACCCGATTTAGATCCGCGCGTCAACCCGACCCATTCTGCAGGATCCGTGTGTTTTCGTTAAAAAAAGGGAAACTACACTTTTAATCCTCTTGAATTTTTTAAGGCTCAATATGATCCCTAACTCCGATTTTAAACTCAATTTTATTTCAAATTTAACTTTCTAATATGACTTTCTTTAAATTTAGTACCTTATATATATATATATATATTTCGCAATTAATTTTTATTTTATTTAATAGATATATATTGTTATTTATTATTTCTTTTCTTTCGTTATCATTATTGTTTTCATGTATATAAATATAATATATATATATATTTATTTATTTATTTTCTATATATTTATTTAATTTCGTTTTTATTCATTATTATTATATTATATTATTATTATTTTTAAATCTTTTATCTTTATTATTATTATATATATTATTTTATTATTATTATATTACCTATACAAACCTACCTAGCCCCACATTTGTCTTCATTTACTAAATTTTTCCTCCCCCAATTTCGTTGAAATGATAGGAGAGTTGTTTAATATTATTATATTATTATATATATATATATATATATATATATATATATATATATATATATATTTTTAAACATTACTATATATATATATATTATTTATAACTATTATTTTTGTAAATCTTTACTTATGTATATATATACATATTTTTATATAATTAATATACATATATATATATATATATATATATATATATTTCTATTTATTTTCTATATTTTTTATTTAATTTCGTTTTTATTCAATATTATTATTTATATTTTTATTTTTTTAAATCTTTTGTCTTTATTATTATTATATATATTTTTTATTATTATATTACCTATACAAACCTACCTAGCCCCACATTTGTCTTCATTCACTAAATGTTTCCTCCTCCAATTTCGTTGAAATGATAGGAGAGTTTATTAATATTAATATTAGTATATATATATTATTAATATGATGTTTTTTATCTATTTATTTATTTATTGTGTATATGTTATTCTTATTATTATTATCTTATATTTAATTTACTTCATTTTTTTTATTTTGTTTATTATATTTTATTCACGTTATTTATTTATCTTTTTTTAATTTTTTTTTTGTTTACTTTATTTATTTTATTTTATTTTATTTTCTATGTTTCTTTATTTACATGTTTATTTTATTTACCTTTTATCTTTACTTTTTCATTCCTTTATTCTTTTTATTTTACTTTCTTTATTTTATTCATTTATTTTTATTTGTACTTTTATATCTAACACAGTTCTTGACTTTTTAAGGATATCTTCAAATCAATCTAAGGTAAGCAATTTTGGATAGTTATTTTATATTTTAATTTAAACTTTCAATTTTCTTAATTAAAGACAACTGGAAATTACATAGTACCGAAAGGGCAGTTCAAGGGTGTTAACCCTTCCTTGATTGTAATCGACTCCCGAATCGGACACATCTTTGGTAAGACGCAGATCATATAAGAAATAAGGTATTCGATCTACCCATTTGTTTTAAAATAAAAGATCGGTGGCGACTCCAATCCATTTTCCTAAGTCGAAGCCCAATTCCGGGGTCCAACCGAAAGACGGTTCCGACAGCTTGGCGACTCCGCTGGGGATCAGGTAAGCGAGTCAGGCTAAGGTAATTTCCAGTTGTCTTTTTAATGAAAAGGGTAAGTTTAAATTTTAAGGTAACATTTCGATCATTATTGCTTACTTTTGATTATATTTTTTTCGAGTAAATAGTTGTACTGACCGTTTTCTAATGATTTCAGCTTTCCAAACTTTTTCATCTAAGGCTCTAAACCCGAGCTCCGAACCCGTTTTAAGTGGAGGTGAAAGTGACGCCTTCGTGTGAATTTATTCACCGTGTGGGCCTAGCAAGTAGCCTTCGGGATACATATACCTTATGCCTTCGTGTGAATTTATTCTCCGTGTGGGCATAAGGGAATGTTTCCTCTCGAGTTTAACTTAGTCCACACAAGCCTGTGATGGGTTTAGGACTAAGGGTCTGGCAAGCCCAATGAGGCACCAGCAAGGAGAACTCGGGTACCGTTTTTTAGCATCTAAAACGGGAGACTATGGAGAAATAGAGCCTACCCCAGAATCTCATTTCCAAACCTAGGATATTTTTACCCTAATCATATTGTTTGTTTGTCTTTGTTACTTTTTTCCATTTATTTCATCATTTTTTATATTACTAACTTTTTGCCTTTGTGTTTGTTTTTTAGCATTTGCATCATAAAAGAGGCCATTGATCCACTAAACGTGTTTGTTAAAACTTAAATAATCTGAATCTATAGACAAAGGTGTTGTAATACAAGAGATTAAAAACCCCGAGGTACGACTATGGTCCGAGAAGGCTCAGAAGGAAAAGGGAGACAGTCTTCAAGGAAACTATGTGACAGAGCTGGTTAGCTACGCCTCTATCAGCCTAAAACAGAACAATGTGCAAGAACTTCGAGACATCTGGGACAGTTGGAAGAACGATCGGAAACAGAAGTTCAGTCAGCGGTATGGTGACATTACACTTTTGCTCCATGTTAAGACCGATGAGCCCTTAATCAGAGTCTTGGTTCAATTCTGGAACCCGGGATACAGTTGCTTCACTTTCAACCAGGAGGACATGGTACCTACCATCGAGGAGTATACTACACTATTGCACTGTGAAAGCATTAAACTGGAGCGAGCCTACATCAAACACATCAAGAGTCAGCCTTTCAAGAACGGACTGGCTAAGATTGTAGGAGTTGATGAAAAGTGGGTGACTGACCGACTCCGACACAAAGGTAACGGGAAAGAAATTGAGTGGATCCACATAAGGCAACTAATGAAGGACCACCCTGATGAATGGAAGACTATAGACCTTTTTGCACTAGGTCT